AAAACTAGCAGCAGCAAACTCCGTGTAAACAAACACAGCTGATCGTCAGCTGAGCTGCGGCTGCGCGCCTCGGTGACGTCACCCCAGTGAAAGCCCAGGATGTAAACAAAGCAAATCGTTAAGCTAACGCTAGCTCCGAGGCTAGCGAGACTCACAGGGGACTAGTGCTGGTGATTCATAGTAAATAAAGAGTTTTGCGGCAGATAATACATTATTTAGAGGCTGTATTGTGAATGCCCCAATCACTTGCGTTGTATGTATATACGCCTATCGCGTGTGGATCTAAAAGAGTCCGAAGGACTCCAAGTTACTCCAAACCTTTATGGGTGATTAGTTCTACATACCATTTGCTGGAAATAAGGACCAGGTTGAAAAAAACCGAACTTCTCCTTTAAGCACTGAAGTCAGAAAAGACCATACACAGCACACCAGTTGTCCAATGGCCAGAAAAGGAGCAGTTTCTCCTGTTTTTCAGCTCCAGCTCCTGATGAAGTATAAAAATCTGAATGGTATCTCTAAATCTAAAGAGAAAACAGATCCCAAACAAACACACAGCACTAGGACCACCCAAAAGCATCTTAATATAATGTGGTTGGTCACAGAGCAAAACAGGGTTTTATGAGGTCAGAGTGACCTTGATCTTTAACCATATACTTATCAGATCATCCTAGAGTCCAAGTGGACATTTGTAAAAAATTTGAAGAAAAGTCCTGAAGGTTAACCTGAGATGTTGCGTTGGCAAGGCGAAACAAATGCAGATCACAGGGGCAAAGTAGGTTTGATATTTTGCCAAAGGACACACATGCAGATAGGGAGGACTGGGATAGAACTACAGACCTTCTGGTTAGAGAGCCACAGCTGCCGGGAGTCAGAAATATCTAGAGAGAGAGAGAGAGAGAGAGAGAGAGAGAGAGAGAGACAAACAGTTAGTGACATGTAGTAAAATAAATGGTAGGCTGGGCAGAGAGTGCTGATACTGATAATAAAGAGTTACAGTAATCGTCTAGAGGTAACAAATGCGTGGACTAGTTTCTTAATTTTCATAATATTGCGCAGGTGTATGTATTAGGTATTTATTCAACAATTTCTTATTCTTACTGTATAGGTAATTTATTCTTAACAAACCCTTAATAAGCAGCTAGTTAGTTGGTTAAGTTGCTGATATATAGTATGGATCAAAGTAGACTCCTAATACATTGTCGCAATATGTTGCTACTCAATACTAATAACTTACGATCATGGCCAACTAGTGGCCTTCTAAGGATTTACCAAGAATAAACCAGTTGTTAAGCAAAATAAGAATGTGTTCAATTAAGACCTAATACATATATGCGGATGCTTAATAAAAACCTTACTAAGCACTAATAGATATCCTTATTAGTTATGTATTAATGACTAATATTGTGTTCCCTAAACTAAAGTGTTACCAAAAACTTTATATTTACATGGAGGGGGGGTCCTCTCTGTGGAGGCCGCCATGTTTTTTACTGTTGTCCAAACTGGACAAACTAAAACCTTTTGAGTTTTCATGATAACTGAAGTTCACCACAGGTTCTCTTTCATGTTTGGAAGGAGAGGGTGAGTATTCAGTTGCAACATGACACTTAACCTCTAGATGTCAATTAGGGTTGAAAATTGCTCCGAAATGACGTTCGAATATTTGCTCTTAAAAAACACATAGGTTCGAACCATTCGAATATATGCGTCAATAACAGGAGGACAAACTAAAACAACGAGACATAACTACTTGTATAGGTATTTTTATTTCAGTTTTAACATAAAATATACCTACACATTACAAAATAAGTAAATGAACTAACCGTAAAACTTAGACAGTAAAAAAAGACCGCTTCGTCGCTCGCCCCGCTCTCTCTCTCTCTATGCGCGATGCGAATACTGATTTAAATAAACAATTTGTTAATAACGGTTGGTAATAACGGGTCTGTGTGGGTGATGTGTGCTGAAAGTAGTGGGAGTAAGTTGCGAGTTAAGCACGTCAGCCAGAGCTGTAGTGTGTGTGTGTGTGTGTGTGTGTGTGTGTGTGTATGTGAGTGAATGAGTGAGTGAGACTGCTGCCTGCTGAACTGAGGGTCGCAGGAAGAAGGATCTTAAGTGCCCATGTTTCGGCTACAAAACCCTGCCGAACCGATCCGAAACCAGCCCAAATTTTTATCCACCCGCCTGGAAACCGTGGTAGCGTCTCACTTTCAGCAATGAGTGACGCTGTGCAAGTGCAACTCCTGTGGCCTGATCTGTCATGCAATACGCCCACTCGCAAAACAGCCACTGATGCGTTTTTTTCCACAGTCGAATATTAATTTTCACAATCAAATATTCGTTTTTTTTAAATATTCGAATATATATTCGAATTTAGAATATTCGTTGACAGCCCTAATGTCAATAAATTCTACACACTGAAACTTTAAGAGAAGTTTAAAGCAATGTCTGGTTGGTTAAGTCAATCCCTTCCGCTTACACACCCAGAATCTCAATCCCTGCCTGCAGATATGTTTTTATTGACTAGTAATTGCAGACAGTGTGTGTCAAACTAAAGCTCATTATAGAGGCTACATCAAGTAAAATATTTAATCTCTCATCCAGGCTTCTTCAGTTCAGTTCAACAAGTCTTGTTAGTAAAGAACAGATTCATATCTTGTGGCCCAGAGTAATTTATCTCGTTCCCATGTGTTATTATATCATAGTAATGTAATATATTTTCCCCAAATGTCACCAGGGGGCTCCGTAAACTTACACATTCACACAATCAGAGATGTTTTACCAGCCGTCCTTCCTACATTTAGCACCTGCAACTGTGTTTCCTTTAGTCTGGATAATGTGTTCGTTTTCCTTGTATTTTTCTAATATAAACAGTTTATGAAATATGTGGCTCTGCCCCCAGTCAAACTTGTCCATGTCAGTGATTGGTCATATCAGTAAACACCACCCCTTTCATGTTCACACGCTCAGATCTTGATGAGGAAAACCTGGGTTGACTTAAAAAGTTGATAACCAGGTTTATGTGACCGCTTAGCCTGATGTGACTGTTAGTTTAATTTTAGCTGGATCTCGGAAAGATATCCAGGGTATGTTGAACTTGCTTCGAAGTACAGACCCCTGGTGGTGCCGTTGTGGAAAATGTGGACCAGTGGACACCGAAGAGGACTTGCTGTGTTTCAGAGAATTTCCAGCTCCAACATGAGTATTATTAGTACTGGAGACCTAGTTTTGGAACCCAAAAAGAAAAAAGAGAAAACAAGCAAAGTCAGCAGGAGAATCAGATGTCTGAGCAAAGATAAGTTCAAAAGTGACAGTGCTTTCATACAGAGATGTCGCATATCAGATCTGATCTATATATATGACTATTTAGCACATACACTGTTTGTGTATGTGTATTTGTTACCAGGAGGTGCTGTAAGAATTTAGTAACAGAGGTAAAAGTAAGCCTGTTTGGTAGACGGGAAAACAGCTGGCTGCTAAAACTCAAAAACAATAACCTATAACATGACACAGCAGTTAGCTTTCTAATACATTGCTTCTAAATAGGTCCAGTGTGATAGCCTCCAGAGCACACACACCTGTGCTGGTTTCTAATCAGTGCTGAAGTGACTATGCTGCCTATTCTGTTCTGTTCATCGTCCTCTGCTTTCAAATGAAGATTACAAAAAGCAGGTTTTTGAGGAGGAGTACATCGAAGTGTAAGACTGAGTGCGGAGAGGAGTCCAAAAAAGGCTAACAGGGGATCAGGGTCCATTGTTTTACATACTCAGTGTGTCAAAAACTGTGTTGGGTAAGTTACTTCCAAAATGTAATATATTTCATATTACAAGTTACTTGCATTTGAAAGTAATACGTTTCTTTTAGGAAAAGGCATTACCAAATGAAGGTGCGCAATATTTTGTCATGGCGAATAGTCCTCAATCTGCAAGTAGTGGTTACCATGAATAGCTGAATTACAATAATGTTATGATATAGAATAATTAAACACCCAAAACCTTCACATGACATGACACAAACTCTTTTTCTATGCCTCATTTATTAACTTCTGAGTTATAAAGTGCGGCCACACAAACATTTAACAAAAAAGTTACATTTCCATGAAATTAACATGTATTTAATATTTCAATAATAAAATAAAAGTGCACTTCAAGAATGAGGTCTAACAGCCACCAGACAGGGCATGTTTTGTAATTAAAGGAGAAGTTCGTTTTTTTCAACCTGGTCCTTATTTCCAGCATATGGTATGTAGATCTACTCACCCATAAAGGTTTGGAGTAACTTGGAGTCCTTCGGACTCTTTTAGATCCACACGCGATCAGCGTATATCCATACAACGCAAGGGTTCGGGGCATACACAATACAGCCTCTAAATAACGCATTATCTGCTGCGAAACTCTTTGTTTACTGTGAATCTCCAGCACTAGTCCCCTGTGAGTCTCGCCAGCCTCTGTGCTAGCGTTAGCTTAGCGAACCGAGAGCGAGTTGTCTTCCTGTTTAATCAACAAATCGGTTCGCTAAGCTAACACTAGCTCCGAGGCTGCTTGTTAGCCCGCTGAAATTAGCTAGCCTTTAACCGGGTGAATACGCCCGAGTACCAGGACACAGCTGCTTTAAAAAAATACTGTACTGCAAAGCACCTGATAAGTGTTCTGCCATGTTGTGCAAAACTAGCAGCAGCAAACTCCGTGTAAACAAACACAGCTGATCGTCAGCTGAGCTGCGGCTGCGCGCCTCGGTGACGTCACCCCAGTGAAAGCCAAGGATGTAAACAAAGCAGCTCGTTAAGCTAACGCTAGCTCCGAGGCTGGCGAGACTCACAGGGGACTAGAGCTGGAGATTCATAGTAAATAAAGAGTTTTACAGCAGATAATGTGTTATTTAGAGGCTGTATTGTGTATGACCCAATCACTTGCGTTGTATGTATATACGTCGATCGCGTGTGGATCGAAAAGCGTCCGAAGGACTCCAAGTTACTCCAAACCTTTATGGGTGAGTAGATCTACATACCATATGCTGGAAATAAGGACCAGGTTGAAAAAAAACGAACTTCTCCTTTAAGTATTTTAGAACCTGAGCATATATCCTGCCCTGAAATTTTTAGTAATAAAAAGGAGCATGAGAACAGCATAAATAATGATTCACATTCAACATTTCAATATATGGCTCATTTCAGTCCCACAGAGACTTTACAAGGAACTTATGCTTAGAGCCTATTAATATTTTGGTTAGGACCAAACAACAAAGTCTTAATAGACAAAATATACAGCCAAACAAAAGCTGATAATAATGAACACATAACTACTGAAGGCATTTAGCCTTGACCTTAGCCTAAGGCTCTATAGACCTACTCCATACCACTAAAAGTATTTGTTATAGCACAAAAGGAGAAGCCGCTGAAAGCGCTCATCACCAAGACAGTTATGCTTTGGGGTGAGCACGAGTCCTCCTACACTGAAAAGTCTTTCGACTGGTGCACTGGATGGTGTTGCAGCGTTACACCGGAGTGCCACTTTTTTAACTCTTGGAAAGTGGTGCAGGCTTTCCATCACAGGGGCAGATTTAAGATAATCTATTACCTCTGTTTCCACGGACATGGGTGCATTTGAGTCATCTAGCTGTGCATCAAAAGAAAAAAAGTCATCCTCACAAGTCATCTTTGATAGGCCATTTTTAACTGCGTGGGTTTTGGCCATCAGAATTTCCAAAATTGGCAGAAGTGTACCGTAAAAACAAGTGTCCTCACCCTGCAAAATGTCAAGTGCTAAGGTGAAAGGTTTCATGATCAAACAGTATTCTTTGAGAAACTGGTATTCCTTGTCATTCATGCATTTAATGTGAAGCTGTGTGCAAAGCTTATTGATGTTGGCAAGGGGCATTTCAA